TTCAATGACCTCCCAGAAGTCGGTTCAACAGAAGCCTTACAGATCTGAGAGATACTCAACCGGTTAGGTGAGTCAGGAATCTGACCCTCAAGATTGCACCTGAAGTCTCTTGAATCACCCAGAACTCTCTGGGGTGTCGCCGGAGCTTTATTTTTAAGAGAGATCCGGCGGGAAATAAATCTTAAGGAGGGGCAAAGGAAAGAGAAAGCAGTTGACAGTGACAGAGCAACTGGAGGAGGGGACTAGGGAGCCTGGGCACCAAGGGAAATCACTCCTCGTCTTCCTCTGAGCTCAGCGTTGATGCGACTTCCTGCTTGATTGACCGGCATGAGTAGCCAGTGGGTGGCACTTTCTTCCGTCATTCAGCCCGACCCATACTGAAAATAGTCCGTGCAGTCAGTGTTCCAAAACCCAGCACCCAGCGAGGGAGACACTGGCATCCCCAACCGACAGCTGCAACAATGACGGAAAATTCCTTGGGGGAGAATCACAACATTCTTTGCTCCCATCCCCAACCGGCAGCTGCAGCCACGGTGGAAAGTAACTTAAGGGAGAAGCACAGGCATCCTCTGGTCCCATTCAATTCTCGAGCTGCCCCATCCCCAACCGGTAGCTGCAGCGACGAGCGTATAAGGGAGAAGATGCGAAACCTGGTTAATTAGCAATTTACTGTCAAGGTAGAGGATACTTCTACCATGTGGAACCCAATGTTTGACCTTGTGAAATCTGGTGAAATTTTTTTGACAGATGTGAAACTAACGAGTTCAATCATCAAAACTCAGAAGCGGGTAGAGGCTGCTTCTTGAATAGTCACAATACCCATTGGCTTCTTGAATAGTCGCAAAACCCTCTCTGCTCCCCTCTTCTCTCTCTCTAACCATGTTCTCCGTTCATCTTCTCCAATCATGTAACAGCCAACCTGCATCTAGCGGTGTAAAACAGTTCCGCTTCTGTGTGGAGATTCATTCCAGTTTAATATAATTTTAGAGCCTCTTTCTCTCTTTGCCAATGATAGTCGTCAACGTGCATGGACTTATCCACCATGAATTGGAACCGAAAGATGGTTGATGGTTGCTCACCTGTCCTTTGTGAGAGACCAACAAATCTATGGTGGACTTACTGTAACCTCTAAAATGCCAGATTGAGCAATCAGCGGAGAAAAGCTGGAGATCTCTGAGTGAACAAAAGAGGTGGACTTCTTTATAGAGTATGCCTCAGATTTGAGATTAAAGACGAAGAGCGTAATAGAAAACCGAACCGATCAGTTCAGTTTCAGTTCGGGATTTTTGAAATATCGAAGGATCGGTTCGATTTTTGTTTACTCTACAAAAAAACCGACGGTTACCGACTGATATATATATTTTTAATATATGTCACATATTTTGTATGAATTATATATAAATATAAATTCATTATATATAAAAATATATACTTATATTATATTTATAATGATCTATTTATAAATATATTATATATTATATATATTTCAAATATTTATAATATATTATATATTATTTATAATATAATATTATATATATATATATTTGTATAATATATATTATAAATATAAAAAACCAAAGAATCAAACTGGTCAAAAACCGAAACCAACGAACCGGTTAACTGGTGGTATCAATTTAATTTCGGTTTGGAGAATTGGAAAAACTGATACCACCAGTTTGATTTACAAAAAAATGCCATGTTTCAGTTAACCGAACCATAAACACCCCTACGGATCGGCATATTTGGGTGCACCTCAGGGTCTTCCTGGTGAAATGAAGAAAGGGCAAATTCGACCCGTCTATGAAACATCATCATGGGAAGTACTGATCTTAGAGGGCAAATTTGATTTCATTTATTTCCGTGATGTCAAGTTTTAGAATATGTAAACAGTAACTCTATAAGGATACAGTTAATCAATTTTGCAAATAATATGGATAATTTACGAAAATTGCCCTATTATTAATAATATAAAATTAATATATTATAAAATATCTATCAAAATCAGACTTTGGGCTTGGGCTACACCCGATGGTCAGGCCGAGCTCGGGCTTGGACTTAATAATTTTCAAGACAAAGCCCGGCCCGAGCCATGAACATGTCTAACTGTGTATAATGGATTATATGACCAACCAATCACGAGTCAATATTCTATATGCGTGGGACCTACATGCATATGGCATCAATGGCCTAATCTAGGAGGGTGGTGGGTGCATGGGCAAGAATTTGGTCCTTCCAGAGAGGCAGAGACCTTCAATTTTATAGCGTGGAGTCATATCAATGCTGTAGGCAGAAAGCCCAACTTTGTCCATGTGGTCGGTCCTCCATGACCCAAATCTCTCATTTACTCGTTCCTTCTGAGTTCTGACCAAGGGGTAGCCTCTGAAACCTACAAAACCATGTGCCCTGCCGACACCTCTCCAGTAATTGGACAACAAACAACCCATAGCATATGTGCCTGTTTGAGAGGGCTGAACTGCAGCGGCTTCTGGCTGTCCGTGTGAGTGAAAAGTTTGAAGAGCCAAATCTTCTGTTGATTAGCCAGTTGAAGGCTGTCCGCTTCGGCCTCTTTGAATCAGTGTTTTCAAACCGCCGTTGAATTTAACGGTTGGATCATTCAGCTCAGAAATCATAACTGGCTCCATTTCACCTTTAACCTGGTCCTTGAAAAAAAATTGTTGATTTGGTTAGTGATTTATTGACTTGGACGATTGAACCATCTATCCATTCGATCTGTTCAATGGTTTTTGCCATTTTTTGTTTTAATTTTTAAAATTTTTCACTTCCATCCATTCGGTTCTGATTCCAAGTCGGGTTTTAAAAGCTTGCTTTGAATAACTTATCTGTCTCGTCAAGTGACCAATGGAAAAAGTGACACGTGTAATATATTAGCGGTGAGCCAATGCATGACTCCAGTTGGCCTAATGGCACTAATTCTTCACCCCATCAGCGAGGGACACATGGACCATGTCGGAGGTATCCCACACGATGGCTTGGCCCATACCTGGAGACGAGATGACGTGTGATCCGTGAATGCAAAGCATAACAGGCCTTTGCCAATCGCCCTCATTACTGACTTGAGCGTTAGAAAACCTCTATATGACGAACCATCTTGTGACCAGCAGTCCTAATCACCTTCCAGGCTTCCAGCTGATCATTTGTGCACCATAGAACGGCAACACTTATTTATGCAGCTGAACCAAAACTGCTTCTTCAAAGCGGGCAAATCAACTTAGTTTAAACCAAAACTTGTCCCAGATGGATCCTGGGGGGGCGGAAGAGATATATATTACTTGACTTGATGTCAAATTCACGGGCAGGGTACAGTTTATAGGGGGGAAGGGAGGGGTTACCAGTAGACGAGAAGGGGGCTGCAATTCGAATTTCTGAGATAGATTGCAGTCCATTTATCCCAAAAAAGAAAGGTGATTAATTGTTTAGCTAAAAAAGTTTGTACCAATGTTTTAAAAACCAATCAGAAATTGGAACTGTTTCGACTACTGGGTTATAGTTCAGCGGTTTGACTGTCCGGTCTAAACGGATAGCTCATTTCAAATTAAAAAAAAATTAAAATAATAAAACGGGTAAAAATTGTTACATATGTTGAACGGGTCGATGGTTTGATTGTCCGAATCAATGAATCATTAACTAAATTAATGGTTTTTGCGCAAATAATAAGTTAAGAGTTGCCTGGACGGTTCCACACTGGTTCATACATAGTGGAGATTTCCAAATGATCTGGCCTGTTTTTGTGCAAATAATAAGTGAGCTGTAAGTATTTGTCCCTATCTATATGTAAAATAGTTCATGGTCCACCTAACTTCTACAATAAGAGCTTGCTACATCCACGGACCAGAGTTGGAGCTGGAGCTCAACTTGACGTAGCCGTGCTTCACGTTGTTCGATTTAGATCACGTGAAGGAATTTTTCAATAGAACTGGCAAAGAATTGATTGATGCTTCTGAAATTGGCGGTTGGGCTGGGCTGGGCCGGGCCACTCTGAATCTCTGGAATTGGAAAGAAAACGTAAATATTAATCCTCTTTGTAGGTGTGTAGGTATATAACAACCTCTGCAAGTGGGGCAATGCTTCTAAACTAAGCAAAATGCCCTAATCATTAAGATGAATGCAAACGAACTTGAACAATCAAGAAGCTTGCTTGGGACATGGGATGCATCTATCTACAAAACTTCAACATTGGGTTGGGGCCAAGTTGGACTGGTTTCATTTCATGTGCCTACATCTGATTCAGTTTAGACTAGACCGGTTCTACTCAGGGGTGGATATAAGTCAAACCGAGCTGAATAGTTAGACATTCGTATTTGTCTTGTTAAGGTAGTATGAGGCTCGAGTTCGATCTCAGTTTGAGCTAGAACCTTAAGTTTAAATTCGACTTGAGTCAAAAGCTTGTAAGTTTGAGCTCAACTTAAAAAAAACGTTTTATTATATATAAAAATAAAAATATTATTATTATATATATTATTTTCTATATTAAAATAATAATAATAAAATTATTATTATTATATATAACTATTCGAATTGACTCGCAAGCCTCAAGAGTCAAGTTTTATTAGGCTGGTTCGATTAATAAACGAAATTGTAAATTAGACTTGAACTCAACTTAAAATTCAAGTGAAACCGAATCAAACTGATCTTTTCCTGAGCCGAATTTGAATAGCTCGTAAATAACTCGGAATCTGAATATGTGATTTACAAATTACATTTTAGCCGCTTGCTTGCTTAGTTGCTTTTAATCACTAATCAGTAATCACTGCAGATTCTCAGACTTTTCTTTCCAATTACGATCATTATAAACTATTTATTACATCTGATGTCCATTCACTCTTGTCAAACTTATTTCTTTTCCTCCCTTTTTGCACGTGTACAGAGCGGAGCTTGAGGTAGGAAAACTTCATCAATCTAAAGGTGGAGAAGAAGCTAACACCACTCCTTTTCTCATTTTTCCCATGTATGAGGGAGAAAAGTGAAGTGAAATTTTATATTTAAGTATTTCCCGTAATTATTATTTTATTTTATTTGTACTATTCCAGTTAAGCGGTAAAATCTGACATTGCTTGGTTTCTGAGAAATCTCAGCGGGCTAAGACCCAAGTTTTGCGTATTTAAAGTGTCCAGCCGTCCCATTTCTTAGCGGAAGAAGCTGTGGTCTCTTCTCCAGTTTTCCCTCCTTACACAGAGCTACTGTCTCCACTTCTCTTCAGTCTTCTCTTTCTTCTCTTACAGTCTTGTTCTATTTTCTTTCTTGCCTTCTTTTGGAGGAATACTGATACAGGCAATTTGAAGGTAATCTTGATCTGGACCTCTTGACTTCTAAGGAAAACATATGAATTTTAGTCTAGTTTTCATCATCTGTCTGCATTCTGTCGGTTTTGGTTACCGGGTTGCTTTTTTCTACTTCCTAAACTGTGCTTAATGTTCTATTCGGACAGGAATTTGTTAGACTTCTGTTGGTTCAGTTTTTGCTGATCTGTTTGGTTTGAATTATCACTAAGAGATTTCTATACTTGTTTCTTTTTGGGTATTTTGTGGTTTAGAATGGGGATCTATGTAATGGATGTTGAACTATCAGTTTGAAATGTATAGATCTGTTGCTTTTTGCACAATTACTCTCGCCCAATTCTAGTTTCTCAGTTATGATCTTGGGTTTCATTACCAGCATTTAGTATAGGAATTAAGTTGCTCTATTTTTTCTTTTCTTTTCTTTCTTAATGGAAGAATTTCCCCGAATACCTAGATACAGAGCGCATGTGTTTTGGCACTTCCTCCCGATGTAATCTTTAGATCCATAGTTCAGGCTAGTATCAACTGTTTAGGTTTTCTGTCGGATCCAGTTGTTAAGCTCCACTCCTCACCTTCTAGTTCACTTGCCTTCAATCGGAGTTTCCTTCTCTTCCTCACACCCTCCCCTTATTTGAAAAGGAATTACTCTACATGTTAATTGCCCGCAATACCTAGATACAGAATTGCATGTATGTTGAGCTTCTCCTTCAGATTCCCGATCTACTCTTTAGATCCATAGATCAAGCTAGTATCAACTGTTTATGTTTGTTGTCAGATCCAAATTTTCGTTTATGACAACACAAATATTCTGTATCCTATATTTCTCTGCATTGAGGCCAATCGTTAAGCTCCCTTCTTCACTATCAAGTTCACTTGCCTTCAAATTGGGTTTTGTTTTTCTTCCTCGCATCCTCCCCTTATTTGAAGTGGAATTCCTCTAGCTGTTATCTATGGAAAGTGGTTTACGGAGGACCTACTGAGTTATAAACAATTCTTTTGGATAGTAATGCATTTATCAACTGTTCGACATCATTTTTTTTTTTTTTTTGTTTAGGATTCATTAGCACATAATAATAGTGAACACTAGCTATTTGTGCATATGCTAGATTGTAATGTTTGTGACTAGCTATTTGTGCATATACTTCTTTCAACTAATTTATACAGAGTTACAGATCTTGGAGTTCTTGTCTAATTAAATGTTTGGTGTTTCATGATATGTGGGCTTTCCTTCTTGCAGGTCACAGATAACCAGGAAAAATGGTGAAGATCTGTTGTATTGGAGCTGGGTATGTCGGGGGACCTACCATGGCTGTGATCGCACTGAAGTGTCCTTCAGTTGAAGTGGTTGTTGTGGACATTTCTGTTCCTCGGATCACAGCCTGGAACAGTGATCAGCTCCCCATCTATGAGCCCGGCCTTGAAGATGTGGTGAAGCAGTGCAGAGGAAGGAACCTTTTCTTCAGCACTGATGTAGAGCAACATGTGTTTGAGGCAGATATAATTTTTGTCTCTGTCAACACCCCAACCAAAACTCGGGGCCTTGGTGCAGGCAAAGCTGCAGACCTGACCTACTGGGAGAGTGCAGCACGCATGATAGCTGATGTTGTGAAATCTGACAAGATTGTGGTTGAAAAGTCAACAGTCCCAGTCAAAACGGCTGAGGCAATTGAAAAGATTCTGACCCATAACAGCAAGGGCATCAACTTCCAAATTCTTTCAAACCCAGAGTTCCTTGCTGAGGGTACTGCAATCCAAGATCTTCTCAAGCCCGACCGAGTACTCATCGGAGGTAGGGAAACCCCAGAAGGGCAGAAAGCAATCCAGGTGTTGAAGGATGTCTATGCCCAATGGGTGCCTGAAGATCGAATCATAACAACCAACCTGTGGTCTGCAGAACTTTCCAAGCTGGCCGCGAATGCCTTCCTGGCCCAGAGGATCTCATCTGTCAATGCCATGTCAGCACTCTGTGAGGCAACTGGTGCAGATGTTTCCCAGGTGTCTCATGCTGTTGGTAAAGACACAAGGATTGGACCCAAGTTCCTCAATGCCAGTGTGGGTTTTGGCGGATCCTGCTTCCAGAAGGATATCCTCAACCTGGTTTACATCTGTGAGTGCAATGGCCTCACTGAAGTAGCAAATTACTGGAAACAGGTGATTGACATCAATGACTACCAGAAGAACCGTTTTGTTAACCGGGTTGTCTCCTCCATGTTCAACACAGTTTCTGGTAAGAAGATAGCTATTCTTGGATTTGCATTCAAGAAGGACACTGGCGACACAAGAGAAACCCCTGCTATTGATGTTTGCAAGGGGTTATTGGGTGACAAGGCACGCTTGAGCATCTATGACCCACAGGTGAGTGAGGATCAGATCCAGAGGGATCTCACAATGAAGAAGTTTGACTGGGATCACCCACTTCATCTCCAGCCCACGAGTCCCACCTCTGTGAAGCAAGTGAGCGTTGTTTGGGATGCATACGAGGCAACAAAGGATGCCCATGGTGTATGCATTCTGACAGAGTGGGATGAATTCAAGACACTTGATTATCAGAGGATATATAATAACATGCAGAAACCTGCATTTGTGTTTGATGGAAGGAACATTGTGAATGTGGACAAGCTTAGGGAGATTGGTTTCATTGTTTATTCGATTGGCAAGCCCCTTGATCCATGGCTCAAGGACATGCCTGCTGTGGCATAAGAGAGAAACATAAACAAAGGTATCACTTCTGATTGGTGTTGTGGCGTTTAGCACTGAAATCTGGGAGAGGCTGTTTGATTCTTTCAGAACTCAAAATAGAGATCTAAAACAAAAGAACAAGGGATTTTGTCTTCTGTTCTAGTCGTGGATTCCTATGCTTCTTTCTTTTGCCAAATGAAGTCATCTATCATGTTATAGTGGAGGTAATCGGCTGTGTTTTGCTTTATAGTTTTTTGGTTAATGTAATACTGATACTTAATCAATTATTAATGGATTATTTGAATCAATGTGTTTCTGTACTTGGCTTAGTTACCTATCGTTTTTTTTTTTTTTTTCTGTTTAATCTGTTTTCTTAATAATATATCCAAGGTGAGGCAGCTTCAAATGCCTCAATCAATCATTCGTGTCTTCTTGGAACCCCTTGATTCTCTTTTCCACTGTATAAAATGCATAGTACTTCCTAGTTCCTAAGTGTCAATTCATACATACATACATACTATTAGGTTGCAACGGATCAGATAGGGGTATGTCTGAATCCAAATCCGGTAAGAGTTCGGGAGTGATCTCAATTTGATCGGATTGTAAAACCAGAGCTTTTCCGGTTGATTCTTTCTATCTTATTCATTGAGATTTCAAAAAATATATATGGTTATATACCCATTGAATCTCCTAAGCTTATGGCAACTACAATTCCTAAGTTTATAGGGACTCAAACATATCTTTCCTATCTTAACTATACATAATAAGGAAATGATAAGAAGATATTATACAAAGAAGATATACACTGAACGGAGTCCTAATTCAGCACATAATCCTAACACCCCCATCAAGTTAGAACATGCAGATTGTAAATGCCCAACTTGCGGAGAAAGTACTCAAATTCTCTGCGACCTAGTGCCTTTGTAAAAATGTCAACCATAACGGTAGTCGACACAAAATGGCAATTAACTTCAATATGTTTCGTACGCTCATGAAACACTGGGTTTGCTGCAATATGCAAGGCTGCCTGACTATCACAATATAATCGCATTGGGTTTGAATGCGTAACACCAAGAGCCAAACAATCCTTTCAGCCATTTTAATTCACACGTGGCAGTGGCCATAGAACGATACTCGGCTTCCGTTGAAGAACGAGCCACAGTGTGTTGTTTCCTAGTTTTTCAGGAAATAGGCGATTTTCCAAGCAAAATAAATCATCTAGATAGAGAACGTCGAGACAAAGGACAGTTCGCCCAGTCTGAATCACACCATGCATATAACTATAAGTCACAGTTTGAACACAAGAGAATTCCTTGACCAGGATTTCCTTTCAAGTAGTGCACCACCCTCAATGCAGCCTCCCAATGTCTTTATTGCGGTTGTTGCATAAATTGTGACAGAACATGCACACAATAAGACAACTCTGGACGAGTTGCTGAGAAATAAATAAGCCTGCCCACCAAGCACTTGTATCGCTCAGGATCAGATAAGAGAGGCTCATCTGTCAAGGCGAGATTGTGATTCTGCTCTAGAGGAAAAGGAGCAGGTTTTGCACCAAGTAATCCAACTTCAGAGATAATATCCAAAGCATACTTACATTGAGACAGAAAAATTCCTGTTGTTGAGTTTTGGACAACTTCAATGCCTAAAAAATACTTCAATGATCCCAAGTCTTTCATATAAAAGCAATCACTCAAATATTTCTTGAAGACTTGAATTGCCATACGATCATTATTTGACACGATAATGTCGTCCACATACACGAGGACAAGCACATGCACCCTGTCTCGACGAAAGGTGAAGAGGGAGTAATCTGAACATGATTGTTGAAATCCATATGTCTTCAAGGTTGCGACTAATTTAGCAAAACAACATCTCGACGCTTGTTTCAGGCCATACAAAGATTTTTGCAACCGACACACCATACCTGGTTTATTTGACTAAAAACCAGGAGACATTCGCATGTAGACTTCCTCATGAAGGTCACCATGCAAGAATGCGTTATGTACGTTCATTTGATGAAGCTCCCAATTTCTAGTTGCTACGACTGCAAGGAAGGTATGGACAGTAACCATTTTTGCAAATGGGGAAAAAGTTTCATTATAATCAATTCCCTCAACCTGCTTGTTCCCGAAAATCACGAGACGGGCTTTGTATCTTTTCACTGTCCCATCAGCATTATACTTAATTCGATACACCCATTTGCATCCTATGGCTCGTTTTCCTAATGGCAAAGGCTCTACAGTCCATGTCTGATTATTTTCAAGTGCATGTATTTCTTTCTACATCGCATTCCTCCATTTTTCATCCTTTACGGCCTCAAAAAAAGAAGTAGGTTCAACTCCTGCAGTAATAGCTGCTAAGAAAGCACGATGTCGAGAAGAAAAATTGTTACAGTTCACATAGTTATCTATGGGATAAGGACTACCTACAGAATGTGATTGGCCGAGTGAGCTTGCAAAGAAACACGGAGAGGGACTCAATCGCTGTGTGGTGTGAAGCACATAATCTCTCAACCTTGTGGACTGCTGTTACTGTTGATGCCCATGCCCCAAATGAAATTCAGAGTGCTGTTATTGCTCAATATCGCCACCCCCCTTACGTCAGGACTGTCTTCGCTTACATTTTCTGTGGTGGCGTCACAAGAATGCATGAGTTCATCAACATTTGCATTCGGGTCTACACGGGTTCCTTCTTCTACACAGATTCCTTCTTCAGCGAGTTCACCTCGCTGGTCAATCTCCATCTCATCATTTGCTTGTCCCAGTAAATAAATGGATGGCACCTCATCTGTCCCACCTATTCCACAATTAAATTGGCCTTGTGCTTTGTTTGGCTGTGCATCCTCCTTGCATGCATACGGGAATTCATGCTCTAAAAAAGTGACATCTCTTGATGCAAAGAACATGTCGGACTCTAAATCATACAAGCTCCATCATTTCTTTCCAAAAGGATACCCAACAAAAACACACCATCTGCTTCGACTGACAAATTTATCCCCTCCATGTCCATGATTGTGCGCATATGCTAAGCAACCAAAAGGTCACACATTTTCATAAGAAGGAGGTCGCCCAAATAACACTTCACAGGGAGTCTTTCCCTTCAACAGAATGGGCGGTGTCCGATTAATCAAATAACATGCAGTCAAGACACATTCCCCCAAAAAATCAATAGGCAAGCTAGCTTGAAAGCGCAAGGCTCGAGCAACATTGAGTATGTGGCGGTGCTTGCGTTCAACCCTCCCGTTTTGTTGAGAGGTTCCGACACAAGTGGTTTGATGAATAATACCATGTTCAACAAAATAATTAGCCAAGCAGACAAACTCAGTCCCATTATCAGTACGGATCACCTTTACAGGTTTGTTAAATTGCCTTTGAACCATAGCAAAAAAATTTCGAAGAACTCGTCCCACTTCCATCTCATCAACTAGAAGATAAATCCAAACGCCTCTAGAAAAGTCGTCTAATATGGTCAAGAAATAATGAGCACCACAAGAAGCTGTGGTTCTATAAGGACCCCACAAATCACAATGAATTAACTCAAAAATATCAGATGCTTTATTATTACTAGAAACAAACTCTTCTCGACATTGTTTAGCTCGGAAGAATACATCACAACCCTTAATATTGTCATCATTATTATTCTTAGTACTAATAAAAGGCAGCAACTTAACAATTCTATAAGAAGGATGCCCTAACCTTTGATGCCAAATATCACATGTCCTGCTCTCTGTAGTCTTCATTGGTCTTGTTGATGCAATGCTCTGGAAATAATAGAGTCCCTCTCGCTGCTCACCCGCTCCAATCAGCATCCTCGTAGTGCGGTCCTGTATCACACAGAATCTATTAGTGAACTGGACAATACAATTCGATTCCTCAATCAATTGCGATACAGAAAGTAAATTGCAATTCAAAGTAGACACATATAAAACACTAGTCAGTTTCAGATGATCGTCCAGTGCAATTGTGCCTTCTTTCTCTGCTATTGTCGCTTTCCCATCTGGTAGCCCGGCAGAGCATGGAATGACATTCTTTATATCTGTCATCGACGCAAGGCTTCCTGTCATATGATGAGAGGCCCATGTGTCTATTATCCACTATGACAATTTTTGCTTACCACTTAGTCGTTGACTCCCCTCTTTCTGTGTGTTCAAAAGGTTGAGTAACATGTTCCACTACTCACTACTCAATCCATTTAACCCAGTCTTGGTTGCATCAATTGATTCTCTTTGAGACACATTGCCTTGCGCAGAGACTTTGGCTGTATTGGCCTTGACTTAGCCGCCACGACCTTTTCCTCCTGCCCCTGCTCCTTTTTCTCTGATTTCAGCCATGCCGACTATTGTGTCTGAAAGCCCGCAATCGGTGGTAGAATCGCCACAAAAGACAAAGGACCGATCTCTGGATCTCCCTGCCGTAGAACGTTGACTCGTCGGAGAAGAAATCAAAACGTTCTGATCGAGAATGAGCCCCCGAGTTCTCTGTTACTCGCACAAGAAGAACCGTTCAGTTTCGGCCAAACGGAATTTCTGTAGAAGGAGAAGAGGACCAAAGAACTCTGCGAAAAACGGAGTGCCGAATTGAATCTGGAGTGCCAAGTTTGTCTTTTGTCGGCGCCGAACAACGTCGTTGCTGCCACTGATCTCCAGAGGTCTTGGAACACAGACCTCTCGCTCCTGTTGGCACCTCCGGTGAAGGGCAAGATGTTCAAGGGACTGTCTGTCTGCTACGCAATGGTGATCGTCACCTTCTTCAGCGCTGGCATCTCCGGCTACTGGGCGTTCAGCAATCAAGCAGAGGGAACCATTCTCAGCAACTTCTTGGACAACGACAAGCCTTTGGTTCCCAAGTGGTTCCTTTTGATGACCAATACCTTCTCTCTCTTGCAACTTTCAGCCGTTGGTGTGGTGAGAATCGAATAAGACCCAAGACTGAGAGCAAGCGCAATTGACTCGATCAACTAGCAATCATCATAATTCAAAAAATATACATGGTTATATACCCATCGAATCTCCTAAGCTTATGGCAAATAAAATTCCTAAGTTTATAGGGACTCAAACATATCTTTCCTATCTGAACTATACATGATAAGGAAAGGATAAGAAAATATTATACAAAAAATATATACAGTGAACGGAATCCTAATTCAGCGCATAATCCTAACACGGATATCTAGGGATATGTAATATAAAACAAAAATCATATGCTATAAGCAGAAAAACTAGTTTATATAAACCCCAATTACTACTTGATTCAAAAGAATTTTAATAAATAAATGATACTTTGCACCTGTATGTATGTTGGATAAGGCTTGAATGATGATGTATAGGATGAGACCCCAGATTGGATCAAACAAAATCTGAATCCGATCCAATTAATAAATAAATGGATCATACTTTCAGATCTGATCCTGTGATCCATGTCTAACTATGACTTAAACGAGTTGGATTGAATCGGATTTAAGTTTAACTCATTGCAGCCCTAGTTTCCTCAGAAAGAAAAATAGAACATCAAACGTGAGGGTGAGGGGAACTGAGGAAGACTGTTTTAGGAGGTAGAAAAGAGCACAAAAGAAGGGAAAAGAATCTGTTATGGTTTTGTTTGTGGCCAATAGCACATGAAGCAGATCACCATACGTGGTCGTGGAATGAAAAATGAAAAAGGAAACTTGTCGGACCTGGATGTGGATGGCAACAAAAATATGACCGGATGGTCGGACCATAAAACCGGGAATTGGTCAGGTAATTGGTTCTGTTTTACCCTAAAACTATTATTTTCCCAAAAACCGTTGATTTGGTCAGCAAACCGCTGACCTAGGTGGTTGAACTGTTTAACTGTTTGGCCGGTTTTTTAAATTTTTTAAATTTTTTAAATTTTTTAATTTTTTTGTCAGAATGGACTGTCTGTTTGGTTCGAACGGTTAGACGGTTTGACCCAAAAACAAGACGCCTGACTGATTCGGTTAAAAACCTTGGTTCAAGTAGTAAAAACCATAAAAAGAAGCAGGACTCAGAAAGATTACTCGATTAATTAGTTCACCGGTTCAACCGTATGGGTGGGGGGATGGGCTACCCCGTTGCATAGCCCTTCACAAGATATTAAAAAAGAAAGAAAGAAATAGCCGGAACCAACGCACTTCTTTCGAAGGCTAGATTAGCCAAATTATATATCTTGCAAGTTTTATTTGAATGGACTGCTTCGCATATTCGATTGAGAGAGTTAGGTTAAAGATCACCAACCTTGCAAATCATTCTGATTACCAATGCGAATTGACTTGTTCAGCTATGGGTTAGGTTCAAGTTCGGCTGAGGGTTGAAGTTTGCCAAGCAGCAAGGTCTCCTTCTGCCTGAATCCGAATTGGTAGGATTAAGGGTTTGGGAGATGAGCTACGCCCCACCTTTAATAATAATAATTTTATATACATATTAGTATGTATATATTTATATGTATGACAACAAATTTTATATTTAAAGATAATTTTTCAAAAACATCATACCCATGTATTTTTACATATAATAATGTTAAAATTAAATTTACCCCAATCCTTGAGTCGATGAAATAAGAATGTTTGACAAAAAAGATTAGAGAAATTGGACCAACCTTAGCCCAAACCAATATGAAGCTTTTGGGGTTGATTGTGTTACCATCGACCTAATCTGCCCCACATATACTCTAATTGTCTGACCTAATATATATTCTCTTGACACTGATATAAAATTGAAATCAAATGGTTTCCACAAGGCATAGGGATATCTTACCAACACAATGCTTCCAACACTGTCCCAATAGGTCATTCTAACTGTACATTGGAAATTCCCTTGTCATTCATGAGATGTTTCCAATGTGTTGGTAGCAGATTTGAACTCTTTCACAAGATCTTGATGGGTCCATCTGATGATGACAAGATAACTGAATTTTGGATTTCCTCTTTATAGAAGAGCATACCTCACAGCAGATGCAGTTATGCATTGGGAAATATTCCAAATGTGTACGTAACTCCAAGTGCTGTGAGGAAGAGCAAATCTGATCTTTGTAAAATAGGTTAGGAAACCCAAGGTTTTTAAAACCGACCTGGAGAATGAACCGGTTAGGGGTCTGTTTCTCGAATCGAATCATTCGACCCGTTCTAATAAAAAATAAAAAAAAAATTTAAAAATAAAAAACAGTCAAAACCATTCAAACGGTTTGAACGGTTAATCGCCCGGATCAACAGTTTATTGATCAAAATCAATGGTTTTTGGGAAAAATCTAATTTTAAGGGAAAACAAAACCAGTCACCTGACCGGTTCTCGGTTTTTCCGATCCAATTTTAAAAACCATGAAAAAACCCATTCAGAAATGGACACATCAGCAAGCTTACATATGCGTTCACTTCTGAGTGGATTTCGTAGGCTATTGTATACTGTTTATTGGTCATGCAATGCAAACTGTGTACGTACTAAGGGTTACGCCACCCAATCATGAGAAAACAAGCAATGGAGCAAGTTGCCAGTGCTAAGGTAATGTTATGGATGGCTAATGTGTTTGATCGTGATTGGGTTTATGTAGCCCATTGTACACGCTTAATTTGTAGCAGATCCGGAGTCCTGTCAGTTTAGGATTCTTCCATTCCATAAAATCTGTGACACTTCACGGTTGTTGCATGTAAGCATTAATCGTCGTATATTTAAGTTTCTGACAATTGTCTAAAACCTCCCTTACAGATAATTTATTTTCAGTTACACTCCATTCACATTCACATGTGATATCATATAAGCGATAATTATTTTCAAATTCTTAAAATACCCTTATTATTTAGGGCACTGTTGGAAGTTGCAGCGGTGGCAGTGATTTTGGTATCATTGTCGCATGATCTGCATCATAAAGCTCCACTTTATTGACCCGATCAATCAGAGAAGTGGAAGAACATCTGTGATTTGAATATATACGTTTTTTACTTATTTAATGAGAATATGAAGCAGGGCCGACATCAGAGAGAAACTATGGACGAAACAGGGGAGAGCGAACGGAAGGGATGAAGAACTTGCTTTCAGTTCCTTTCCTGATTCTGTGTCCCAACATCAGAGAGAAAGTATGAAGCCAGGGCCGACATTAGAGAGAAACTATATACGAGACGACGTTTGATAGGTGACGCACATGCCGCTGCTGAATCAACATTTTGGTGAAGCCTGGCATCTTTCTTCTTCGTGAAGAGGCTGTGGGTGGAGTACTGGAGTGTGGAGATGTAAATGAATTGAATTAGGTCCAACTAGTCTTGTCGATTTCCTTTCTTAAAGCAAAATCTCAAACCCTGTAATATCTACTTTCTGACGTAATGTAGAATCAAAAGCAGCTGTATTTGGTTAGAAGAGTGGGAGAAAAGACATTGGGTTGCAATTAATGTGGCTCAAGCTAAGGGAAACTTGTCAAATAACATAAAGAGAAAGCTGAGGTATCGGAAACTTGGCTAAGATATCTTCTGTACGGCTTCTCTCTGATGGTGGGGTTGTTGCAGAAGAAAACCAGCAAAACAGGAGATAACGAGAGAGAGAGAGAGAGGCGCTAGTTGGTTGCAAGGACGACTTGGGCGTAGCTCGTTTTGGAAGACGACAATGCAGGCTAATGGTGGTAGAGGTTGACGGTGACCGGTGGGGAGAGAAGAGGGTAAAGGAAGGGGAATAGAAGAGGCGAAGAGTTGTTAGGGGAGAAACCGGCGGGAGAGCAGACGGGACTACAGCATTATACCATAATCCAGCTGCACAAGGACCTCATCACAGGCCGGGTTTGGGTCTGACTTCCATTCAAATTTTTCCAAAGGCCAAGCCCGAGCCTGGTCCATGAACGAGGTGGGATCTGCTCCTCACACAGGGCGTGTGAGCTCTGGAGCGGATTGGTAAGAGAGCTCTGAAGCATATTGCTTCTTGAGTCAGTTAAAAAGAAGTAGAAAAAAATATGAAGATGGATGATGGTTGATAAAGAATCGTTTCAGACAATATAAGAGTAGAAGCTTTCCAAAGAGAGAGAGAGCACGAATGTGAAAGCTGCTATTTGTCATGGCAGAGGCGATGAATGTGAAAGCTGGTATGGGTACTTTGCACAAAGCTGAGAGCCGACGTCTGTACAAATTTTTGTGAAAGCTGCTATTTGTCATGGCAGAGGAGATGAATGTGAAAGCTGGTGGCGGTGGGAGAGGATGGGTACTTTGCACAAAGCTGAGAGCCGAGGTCTATACAATTTTTTGTAAAGAACCTACGGTGTGGAAGAACAGCAACTGTGGCATCTGGATGGGATTTAACACCAGAAATTGGGTATGAATCCACCTACGGTCAGTTGGGTTTTATTTTGAAATTTTGATGAATAGTGAAAGGTAAATTCGACATTTTATTTTTTTGTCAGAAAACTTAAGGGTACGGCAAGACAATATCCAAACAATAAGGGTATAGTTTGTTAATTTTGTGAATAGTAAGGATAGTTTAAGAGATTTATCCTTTTTTTTAATCCTCTCATAATACCTTTGTAATAAGGACAATGGGAGAAAAACACTGTTCATCTTCATCGGCCTCACGATACACGAACTGCAGCGACGATAATCCCTTCTACCTCAGATTCCTTCACATTTCTCTCTCTCTCTCTCTCTCTCTCTCTCTCTCTCTCTCTCTCTCTCTCTCTCTCTCCCCCGATTTCTCTTCTTCCCCTTTCCCTTTCCCTTTCCCTTTCTCTCCTCCCCTTTTATCTTCCCACTTTCCTCAGTTTTCTGTTCCTCTCGGCCATAGTGGTTCGAGATTAGCACAAGTTGTGGTTGTAGCCAAGCGCAAGCTGCCCTTATCATCTCAAAGCCAGGATTATTACTTAGGATACGATGGGGTTTCCACAGAACTTGAATTTCCAGGCTATTCAACTCCAACTCGAAGCTTCAAGTAAGAGTTAACCTGTATCGGTTCGATTTTGGTTTGGCGAAATGAAAAAACTGGTACCATCGGTTCGGTTTACAAAATGGGGCCATGGTTCGGTTAACCGAACCGTGGACACCCCTAATATATACTCTCCAGCTTGAGGGGGAGTGTTAGTGTTGAGTATGTAGGGGTACTTTTGACTTTGTGCTTATGGTTAGGTGTTGATCTGTAAGTTTATGTTAGATCTAATGTCCCTAACTTAAGTAGGGGCACATGTGGTTTTTCCATATTATTTTCAGTAATATAAAACAGATCTGGCCAAATGGGAGGGTTGATTTTTCTCTCATTTGAACCAGACCTTTTCCTCCTTGTCCTCTCTTCTACTCTTCTTCTTTTTCTCCTCTCTTTTCCTTGACTGTTATCAATCTAACAGGCAGGCCGAACTCTAATAGGAATCAAGGACCTCTTACCGGCCTACTTAGATCCCCGGGTGACCAATCTTGACTTGCTCACCGGCATTAGCTTTGCATCAACTGGCATAGGGATAGACGACTTGACAGCGACCATCTTCAATGTGGCTCACATGTCGACCCAGTTGTGCTACTTCAAGCAATGCTTGGCTTGGATGCAGAGTACCATTGGGAGGGAGGCTGCCAATCTTATAGTGGAAGACGCTTTGTTTGCTATCAGTGCCGGAACTAATGACATGATATTTAACTTGTACGATCTACCCACGAGAAGGGGTCAGTTCTCTCTTCCGGCGTACCATGATTTTCTACTCCAAAACTTGGAGTCCTTCGTTATGGTAAGTGACAAGATACATTCGTTATGGTAAGTGACAAGATACTTGTGTTAATGCAGATACTTTATAGCATGGGAGCACGAAGGTTCTCAATATTAGGGTTGTCGCCGATCTGGTGTCTATCGGTGCAACATACGGTGGGAAGCATACCGCCGATGCCAGGGGGCCATCTACTGCGGAGGGCTTGTAATGCTGAAGAAAATAAGGACTCCCAAATGTATAATGCCAAGCTACAGGCTCTTGTGTTGAAGTTGCAAGATACGCTCCCTAGTTCTCGGTTCGCGTACGTCGACATCTACAATCCATTACTGGACATGATCACCAACCCTAGGAAATATGGTGAGTGCTGTTAAGAGCTACTGTCTTGACTGAAAATGAATGATATCAACCTATTCAAGGACCTCACCTAACAGCTTAAGCTTTTAGGTTGAATGGTTCTTTGACTTGGTATCGGAACCATGGCTCACTATGGTGTGCACTCGGCAGCAAGCTCAAACACAGAAAGCTCCAATTAGTTCTTGAGTTCTGTGTTGGGAACATCAGTGATCAACGTCCCCAACATCTCCCATTCGCTTCCCATCAATCTGAGTCACGACAACTACTTACCTTGGAGGGCGCAGATGATTCCAGTCCTCAGAACTCACAAATTGCTTGGTCTCGTAGAAGGAACCATGCAAGATCCTCCAACCCACATCGATGGTCTTGATGGACAGAGAGTGATGAACCCAGAGTATGATAACTGGGTGCAGTTGGATTAACTTGTTCTCGGGTGGATCATTTCTTCTCTCACTGAGAGTGTGGTGAGAGAAGTGATCGGTTTGACCACATCAGCCAAAGTCTGGAAGGCCCTATTTGCAACCTACTCCGCCATCTCAAGGTCAAGAGCTCTTCATCTAAAGTGATAGTTGTAGAGCATCAAGAAAGGGTCAGAATCAATAACCGAGTATGTCAAGAGATCCAAGGTAATTGCTGACAACCTAGTAGCTATTTCTGAACCGGTACGCAAAGAAAATCTTATTCTCTCTATTCTTTCTGGACTGGGGACCGGTATGAGTCCATAGTCATTATAATCACCAATAGGACTGATTTTGATTTTCTTACTATTAATGATATACTGGGACTTATCTTAAATCATGAGGCATGGTTGGAACAACACAACCAGCCCATCGCTGATAACCCCCCTTCTGCAAATTTTGTCGCATATGGCAAAAATAAAAATAATTGGAACTCCAAAAATACAAACCGAGGGGTTAGTTTTGCTCCCAGCAATGGCAGAGGTCACGGCGGTGGCTACAACTGTAGAGGTTATCCTAACCAACATAATGGCAACAAAAATAACGATGGGGGCTGTGGGAAAGGAAAATTTTCCCAAATCATCTGCCAGGTTTGCAACAAACCAAACCATGGTGCTCTTACCTGTAGGAGGCGCTATGATTTATCATATCAGGGAGAACAACAAACTCCTTCAGACACTGTTGCATATCACACAAGTGTTGGGAATGAGGTTGATCCCACATGGCATCTAGATTCGGGCGCCACTTATCATTTAACTCCAGATGTAGACAATCTGTAGAATCGGTCCGAGTACATGGGTTCGGATCAGGTTTGTGAATTTTACATTTCGAATCTTCGTCATTGACACATAATAATCATACATTTGCTCTCAACTCCATTTATCATGTTCCTCACATCACCAAGAATCTGCTTTCTGTGAGCAAATTTACCAAAGACAATGATGTTTACCTTGAATTCCATCGTGATTTCTTTCTTGTGAAGGATTATATGGGGAGAGTTCTCATCAGAGGAACGAGTAAAAATGGACTTTATCAATTTCCTGAAGGGACTCAAGTCAACAATAAAGCAACTGCCTTCGTTGGTTGCGTTCAGAGTAGTGAGTCAGATTATCTCACAATTTGGTTTACCTTGTCAAAGTCGTACTAGTAGTATTGTGTATGAGTCGTTCCAGATGGGTAAGAGTCATAGACAACATTTGCTTGCCAGTTTCACAATTTACTGCAACACATCCATTATAAGTTGTTTATTCTGATGTATGGGCACTAGCCCCAACTATTTCTAATAAATGTTTCAGATATTATGTTATTTTTGTGGCTGTTTTTTCAAAATTCACTTGGTTGTACCCACTCACAAAGAAATCTGAAGTCATTGATGCTTTTCTAAGCTTCAAACGGCATGTGGAATGTTTGTTGTCCACAAAAATAAAAATCCTTCAATTTGAGTGGGGAGGGGAATTTCGCTCTTTCTCCTGGTACCTCAACTCTAAAGGAATTCATCACCGTCTGGCGTACCCACACACTCATGAACAAAATGGTACAGTTGAAAGGAAGCGCCAACACATTGTTGAGTCCGCATTATCTCTACTGGCTTCCACGTCTCTCCTATTTTCCTTCTGGACTGACACCACACATATGGCAGTATATCTGATCAAGCGGCTTCCCGCTCAGACACTTTGCGGTTGCTCCCCATATGAGTTACTATTTCAAAGAACCCCAGATTACACATTTTTCAAAATTTTTGGTTGTACCTGTTATCCTATTCTACGACTGTATAATCGCCACAAATTTGAATTTCAGTCACAACAGTGTATTTTTCTAGGATATAGCAGCTCATAAGGGTTATAGGTGTTGGCATCTTGCCAATGGATGTGAATACATCAGTCCATGTCATATTTGATGAATCACGGTTTCTGGATATGCAACTCTTCCCAATTAACCGCTCCAGTACTGATCGTACCACTTCTCCTTTAGGTACCCCCATTGGACCAATTATAGGTCCACTGAACCTGCGAGTAGCAGCTTCACCATCAGTTGGCATCGGTGACCCCTGCTGCTCATCAGGAAACATCTCCTCTCCTTCATCAGATCTCCAATGACAACCCTTGGTGTCGTCGGTGACCCCTGCTGCTCCTACTCTATCAGCTGAGTTTGCTCCCAGCGGTGATCCATCATCTGCCTTTGAGCCGCCTTGCTGAACCAGACTGATTCAAGAGCTTATTGATACCACTCCTGCTGCACCTCCACCTCCATAGAAAACTCATACCATGGTCACCAGATCGATGAGCTCCACAGCATCCCTTGCGATGGCTACCACCAGGTATCCTATTCTGGCTGCCCTTCTTGCTGACATCACACCGAAGCAATGTGAACCGGCCACTTATTCTAGTGCGGCCAAGCATCAACACTGGCAACACTCTATGCAACAGGAATACCATGCCTTCATGGACAATAACACTTGGAATCTTGTTTCGTACCATCCTAGTATGAATTTAATCGGAACAAAATGGATTTACAAAATCTATTTTGTAAATCTGGGTTTTTCATATGAATCCAGTCCCTCCTTGCATATATGGGTTTTTCATCCACATCACCTCTAGTTGCTTGGTGCGACAATATGGGTGCTACACACCTAGCTGCACACCCGGTGTTCCAGGCATGCACCAAATTCGTCTTCTGGGACGCTGTTCATCCAATTCAAGCCACTTACCAGATTCTTGCCCACATCTTTACAGCCACTGTTCCTCCCTGTCTTGTCAGTTTTTTTTTTCACTTCATGGAGCTACACAACAGGGGGTAGCCTATCCCCTTCCCCTTAACCCCCCAACCCCTGGTGACAGTAGGATTTGATCCCAGGTCTCTACTCCGATGAATCAAATAACCTACCGACTGAGCCACCATCAGTAGAGAAAATTAGCATTAATTCTAGCTATTGCTTTTCTACTTTGTTAGATTTATTTAGTTACAGTCGAAGCTTCTTTTGATCAACAAACAATGTAATTGATAGTTATAATCCAAAGCTTTATATTATAGCTGTTCATATTACATATATACAAGATAGGGTCTGATGAGATTTTATGTAATATAACTTATTGGAATACCTCTTTGGTATATCACGCCAATCTAGGGTAGGGAATTCCCCAGATGTGCATGAATCAAACAATAAATAAAGTAGTTGTGAAATGATGCTTCAAAAGGGAAAAAAAATTGAGTAGTAGATGACAATAGAAAAAACGAAAAAGAACCGTAAATCTAAGAATGCCCAAAATACTGTTTAAAATCGAAGATCAAGAAGAAAAAACAAAGGTTTTCACCCGTGATATTATTCTTAAATTTTTGTTATTAAGGCTCGGTTTGGAAGGACTACAAATAGAAATATATGTAAAGTGCAAAATCTTGTATTTTGTATGTATTTGTACAGTACATATTTATATTTATACTTTTTTCCAAACTAAGCCTATTATTTGCTATTATTTAGAGCAATTTGTTCCTCATTTAGGCCCGTTTAGAGGTCTAGAATTGGATTCCAACTGTTTGATTGAGCGGAACGAAATTACATTCCTACTGATTTCAATTCCCATTTCCATTCCTATCTGAAACAAACAGATTATGGGAATAGACCATTTTCATTTGAATTCCGGTTTTGATTCCAACTGCGAACCAAAGAGACCCTTACTTTTGAGGGTTAGGTTTCATGACCATCATTATTTTTTTCATCAATAAAGCCTTTGTTAAAAAAAGGGAGTTAATTTCTATTTTAATGTAGGATAGAATTAAAAGATGGTTTATATTTTTTTCATATATTTTATTTAAAGTAAGTTGAATGACAACCAGATAATCCAAAAATTTAAGGTGGTGTGCAGAAAGACCGGAAAAGCCAAAAATCAAGAAGTTTCAAACGAAGCTTTTGGTCTTTCCATTGCCGAAAATAGCTTTTGCAACTATTTTTAACAGCCCAATGGACCATGCTACAAAACAATCTTGATCTTTAAAGACAAAACCCCAAAAGTTTAGTGTGTCTTCTTGTCTACTGATTTGTCAAAAGATCTACTTAAAAAGATTTGTCAAACTGCCCATTTAAGTTAACTCATGACCCAATGGTCCCACATTCCTTACCATATACTTAAGGGCATGCGGATTATTCCTTCATCTGCATATTGGACCAATCACCTTCAAATCATTTACATATATTTATTTATTTATTTTAGATCCAACAAATTTTTCTTGTAATATTGGGCCAACCACCAACCATGATGCCTTGGTAGATAGAGATCAAATCAGCCCCCCACAACGTCCTACAGCACATCCCCGCCGTGTATTGGGAACATCTTCCGATGATGATATTATCATTTCTGGTATTAACATCGGGAGATATTCCCAATACACAGCGGGGATGTGCTGTGAGACGTTGTTGGGGGCAATCTTGTGGGGGGTTGATTTGAACTCTGGTAGATCACATCATTTCTGCACACATGGCTAGCTTATTATGCTGACATGGCATATTATGATTGGTCCAGTATCCTAAGGTTCCATAAATGCATAAAGTATGTTGAACCACAACCAACTCAATAGCCTATTTTCCACATCAGAAAAAAGCCTTACTTTTTAGTGTCTGTTTGGGAGGACCAAAGAAAAATCGGGTTTATTCCTCATAGGACACGCCTCACGCCAACCTCTTTCCATGGCAACATTAAATACAGGAGATGTTTTCAGTGCACGGGTAAAAATGGTGTGTGTGGTGTGAGGAGCACTATGTAAGGAGCAAATCCAGATTACACTGAAGCACTGTTTTCAAAATCGGACCGGACCGGATGGTCAGACCAAAAAAACTGGGAACCGATCACATGATCGGTTTCATTTTCCTCCAAACCGCTTTTTCCCCCCAAACCGTTGATTTTGATCAGCAAACCGCTGAACTAGCTAGTTAACCGTTCGAACGGTTTTGACCATTTTCCATTTTTTTTTAT